ACTTGGAATGTAATTTTTCCCCGCTTGTTTCTATTTTTGAGTTGTAAGTAGCCCAAAAGTGAATATACTTGAACTTTCTGACTTTAATTATCACATTCTGTGTGTGTGCAGGGGGATACTTGGAAATCAGCCCAGGTAGTTCTGAGCTACATCTGCATCTGATTTTTGTTTTGAGACAGGGTCTTCCTCGGTTGCCCACTTGTGATCTCCTCACTCTTTCTTGTGAGTAACTGAGATTAGAGGTGTGTACCACCATTCCTGACTTCTAAGTCTACTTTTAAATTGTCATTTTCTGTTTCCAGTTGGCTTGGAAGAACATTCAAAACACACTTCTTGTGTTTCAATATGTTTTTTACAATTGTTTGTGTACTATAAACTAGTTAAGTGAAGTCTAGATGTTTGGAAGTTAAGTATGAATCCTATTACAGCAAAAAAATTATTCAACCTTACTAAAACTATAGCTTTGTTTTCATTGTCAGTTTAAGGTTTCAATTATCTCCTGAATTTTTTATGCCCACTTATCACAAAATCTGATATTATTATCTAATATACCGTTTTTATAGAGTATACATATTACATTTACATGACCTTCTAAGTCTCTGTTCACTGTGCTTCGGCCATGCTATTCTCCCTATGTTGCTTAACCTGTCAGTATGCCCGTTCTTCGGTCTTTGTAGTTATTGGCCCCTCTGCCTTGTCTGCATCACAGAGATACTCATTAGGTTTCTTTGTCTGACCCACAGATATGTTCATTAGGCTGCTTCTGTGTTCAAATGTTACTTCCAAGTGGACTTTCTTGGTTATAGGAAAGAATTAAGAGCCAGGGGAAGGGTAAATATATGGCTAAGTACAAACAGAACATTCACAACCCTAACCCTAGCCCTAATAATGAAGTTTAAAGTGTGTAGGAAAAAACTTCACAGAAACAATAATGCAAAAGGTGGGGTTTGTAACTGAAGTTGTGAGATTCTAGCATTCCATGGCAGAATAAAGGAACACTTAGCTTGTCATGACAACTTTGCAGTCTAGTCTGCATAACCACCAACATTTGAAGGATTTATTAACAAATTAATACTACAATGAAATTGGAATAATATATGAACCCAAAAGAAGGCAATTGAGGCTGAAACAGATAAAATAGAGAAATACAGAGTAAAATGTTACATAAAATAAAAACAGGAAAATGTTAGAAACAGATTTATCAGTCATATTGTTTATGAATTAAATATTCTAAAGACAAAGATCAGCAAACTAGATTAAAATAAAAGCCTCAAAACTGTTTACACAAAGAGTTCTTTAAAGTCATGAGCCAGGTGTGGTGGCCCTTTCCTGTAATCTCAGTCCTTGGGAGGCTGAGTGTCACCATGTGTTCAAGGCCAGCCTGAACTCATCCTTTCTTATATCCTATCTTAAAAAGCAAATAGGTAAATAGTTATACAAGGTGAAAAGACCATAATTGGGATGCTCAGAAGTTGACAGCATCACAGACTTCCTCTCCTCAAATTCCTATATAAAAACAAAGCAGCTAAAATATCTAATCCCAAAACTTATGGGCAACATCTACAACAGTGTTATGTGACATGTCTCATAAATTCCAAAATAGTTGAAAGAATGAACAACCTAAAGCTTTAATGGGCTCAAGAACTCCAACATAATAAACTAGTAATTATGGTAGCTGTCTTTTAAGATAATCCTCAGTGATTTCTGCTTTGTAATGTTCTTGTGTAGTTCCTCCAATATTTTATAAGTAGAGTATAACAGCAGTGGTAGATATACCACTTTGAGGTTTGGTTATAAAAAGATAATGCTTTCTGTTTTGGTCACTCTACAATCACTTTCTTTGGAGGACATTGGTTTACATGTCGTGAGGGAATTCAGGCAGCCTGTTGATGCTCTCCCAGTTGACCCTTCAGATGAGACAGCAACCCTAGCCAAGAGCTTGACTGTAATCTCATAAAAGATCTTAAGCCTGAACTGCTAAGCTAAACTGTTCCCCTATTTCTGACCCACATAAACCAAGGTAATTTTATTGTAGGCTGCTAAGTTTGATTTATTATGCAGCAGTAGATGATTCACACAGCAGAAAAGATAGGAGTACAAACCTCAAATTGAATAAGTAAAAACAGTTTTCAGTAAATCCTGATGAGATTACAGGCCTGTAAGCTCTCTAGTCATCTAACAGTCCATTCCAAAGCGTCATGTTGAAAAGAAACTAGTGGGAGCAGAATCCAGATTGAGTAGGACAGGGAAAAGAGCAACAAACATCTGGTTAAAAACAAGGTCAGAGAATGGAATCAGGAGACCTCAAAAAATAAGTTTCTATGGTTTCTTTTTAAAAAGTATTTTGAGGCATAAGTTATGCCAACCATGAATAAATTATTGTTAAAGAAGTTCAGTATTGAACATACAGACTTTTTCTTACCCCCAAATACAGAATAACAACTATTTATGTAACACTTACACTGTATTATTATTAGTAATCTAAAAAATATTGGGAAGATGTACATAGGTTATATATAAATGAAAAATTAATGTTTTTTATTTTATACAATGGATTTGAGCATCTAGATTTGCATAAGGAGAAGAGTGGGTATCCTATGAATAATCCCCTGTAGATAGTCAGGTTAAGTATTTAATTCAGCAAATATTGAGAAATGTATACATCTAAACCAGCATTGTATCTAATAACGTTTTCGTCATCCCCCAGAAGTTTTCACAGGCCCACTTAGCATCATTACCACCACCTCATGGTCCTCAAGCAAGCACTGATGTGCTTTCTGTTAGATTAGATTTCAGCTGACAGAATTTTGAACTCTTAAAAGAAAATGAGCTCTGTAGCTGTAAACTTGCAAGAAAGCTAAGTAAAATCGTGTCTGTGAGCTCAGGAAGTTTATATTTCAGTAATCAGCAAAAACAAGATTGATGTCAAGTTCCATACAAAGGCAGAAAGAAAAGAAAAAATGAGGAACAAGATAACATCATTTCTCATAAGGAAGCATCCAGAAAGATAAGCATGAGTCAGAAGGTGAGCCAAAGATTATAACTACATCTAGTCAATCTAGTCTCTGGTATAAAGGATATAGGTAAAGCGTCATTACAGTATTAAAAACAGGTATTATTTATATTAATCTTTCCTGAGAAATTTTCTTAAGAAACTTTCTCAACTAGCAACCAAGATGAGCAAAGAGAATTTGACATAAAGAGTGGTGATAAACTTTTATATTTCTGCATTTAGAGCTAGGACTGATGAGCTGAGGATGTAGCTCAGTGGAAGAGTGTTCGACTACAATTGTTAAGCCTCTGTGTTTGATCCCACCCAGAGGAATTGAGGGACACAAAGAAGAAAGTATAGTATATAGTGACTAAAGGTCTGACAGTGCAGCTATATTATAACCAAAGAAATGGGAAAGTATACTAAAAGCTCATATTTTTCAGCAATTATATTACATATAATGTAGGAAAAAGCAAACATGTTTACAGCATTTTAGGCATCTGAGAACTAGGATTTTCTGTTTAAGAGGAGAAAGAAAAAACATACAGATGTGTAAATATCCATTAGGTCTACATTTTTTCAGAAAATGTTAGTACTTGTGAGTTTTACAGGAAATAACAGATGAGCAAAAAAGCTATTTTAATTACACTTTGGAAATGCAGTTACCATAATCAAGACTGTGGTGAAACCTGCACTAAAGGTTGCAATTCTTCAAAAAATTACAAGGAAGAAAGAGACAGTGAGGGAATTTCTAGATAGAGATTTTTAAAGCATAGGCAAAACTATCCACACGCTTATAGAGGTAGACAGATGATTACAGAAGAAAAGTAAGGTAAACATGACTTTTGGGAGAGCATGACGAAGTTGTCATTGGGAGCGGCACATCAAGGGTTCTGAGGTAATCTAATTTCTATCGTGGCTCCTCGTCTCAAAGGATGTGCACTGTAAACTACCCATTTATATGGTACTACTTGACATTAAAAGTTTTGAAAGAAGTGGGGCATGGTGGCATGCATCTGTAATCCCAGCACTCAGGAGGATGAGTCAGGAGGATCAGTGAGTTCAAGGCTAGCCAAGGCTACATAGTGAACTCCGCCAGTTTGAACTACACAGTGAGACTCTGGCTCAAAAAAGAGAATTTAAAGAAACGGTGGGTGGAAGAATGGGAAAAGTCTCCATGTAAATGCTAACAACAACAAAAAGATGACACAGAATATGTTACTAGAGATAAAAAGAGATTTCATAAAATAGTGTAATTTGGGCACATATAATAATGTACCTTCAAAATACACAGCAAAAGCTCAGAGATTAAGGACAAATATACAAGTCCAGTCGTGGTAGAAAAGTTTGAAGAAATATTTGCAAATAGATATAAATTGAGAGTAACATACGATTTTGTATTTGAAAATCTGCTTTCCTTTCCCTTTCCCCTTCTCTCTCCCCCAACAAACTCTGTGCCTTTGGCACTAGGAATTAAATCCAGGGCCTTCACACTTAGCTACGCTCTAGTTCTCTTTAAATTTTGACATGTCCTCACTAAGTTGCCCAGGCTGAACTCAAACTTGGACTCTTGCTTTGGCCTGCCAGAGTGCTGTAGTTTTTTAGGCTAAATGTCTAAAATAGCTGTTTTTGCCGGATGATCTAAGAAGCAAAGTCTGTGAATTTTCTTTCTGATGATACTGTGAAAGCATACCTGACTTTAAATGACTAATTTTTTTGAACTCTCCGTACTGTTAAAAGTGATAACTAGGCCTGGTGGTGAACACCTGTAATCCTAGCATGTGGGAGGCTGAGGCAGGAGGAGTGTGAGTTCAAGGCCAGCCCTGGACTACATAGCGAGGCACTGTGTTTGTTGTTTTTAAAAAAATTCAGATTGATTAGAATAGATGTAATGTCAGTTTGTAAGTGGGCAAAATCAGTGAGTTCCCAAACTGACTTCTAATTAGCATTTGACATTGTGTAGATTTTGTTTTAGACGTTAATTAACTTTTCTTGCTTTTTAAAACAGGGGCTCAGAAGGAACATTAAATGACTGCAGGGTAATATTTATAGAAGAAATCTTCAAGATTGAGAAGCCTGGAGCCCATCCTCTTTCATTTGCAGATGGAAAGTTTTTAAGTATGGATTTTTTTTAAAGTTTAGACTGTATGTGATGTACATGATAGAACTTTGTGTTTTACTGACCAGGGAATAACTTGGAAGGAGGTTTAAAACTATAGACAACACAAATTTATTTTCAGTGTAACAATAGAAAGAAAAAAATGCCTTCCAATAAAGGAATCTGAATTTTTCTAATTGTCAAATGGTCTTTCCAATGGTTTAAGATTTGCATTCTCACCATCAGTATGGCATTATCTCCAAATTCTTATCAATACTAAATACTAATTTTTGCTTATCTAATAGGAATAAGGATCCAAAGTGTTAATTTATATTCTTTGAATGGAAAAGAGTATAAAGGCATTTGTCTAAGGTCTTGCCTAGAGTTTTCTCAATTTTTCTTAGTTCATTGAACCATTAATGTCTCAGTAATGTTTTCATGGCACCCAAAATTGAAAAGAAATAGAAACCAGTTCCATTTACTAAGTACTTTTGTTCAACAAATTATATTTCCCTTGAAATTTTAAGATACCTTATGGTGCCCTAAGTTCACAACTCTGCCCTTGAGTATCACAGTATGACTAGTCATTTATTCTTTTTCTTACCACTTGGTTGTTGCTTTTGGTTCCTTTCTTTTTTTTTTAAAGATATATGCTAGTTTTGTGTATTTTTGTTTATAAAACTATTTAGTGTGAAAATTAAGAGATGTTTTAATTTTGTTCTTAATAGGGAAAAATGACCCAGAATGTGATCTGTGTGGTGGAGACCCAGATAAGAAGTGTCACACGTGCTCTTGTCATAAATGTGGCGAGAAACGTGAACCCAACATGCAGCTCCTCTGCGATGAGTGTAATATGGCCTATCATATTTACTGCCTCAATCCACCTTTGGATAAAATCCCAGAGGAAGAATACTGGTATGATCATCAGGTTTTATTTGTTTTTCTCATTTTATTGAGAATCAAATGTGAAATGTGTATCTGAACCACTAGCAACAAAATTTTAAAAGTACATAATATGTGTCAAAGTGCTGAAAATATTACAGGCAGTGATTACTTGGCATTGATAACTGTATTGAAACAACTTCTGAAGTGTTCCCCAGTTCAGTCCTTACAATTCATTCTCTAATATGGAGTCTAAAAATGCAAATAATGATGTGTTACTCCTTTGGTTCAAAGGCTTTATGTGGCTTTACAGAAAGCTGCACGTTACTTAGAACATCCTCCAGCAATGTCTCATCACTTTCCTCTTCCATCTCCAAAAGTACTCAGGCTACAGTCTAGCCAGATTTCATCTTCTTAAATAAGTCATGTTCTTTTTTCTTCAGAGTTTTACACTTGATACATTTTCTTCTTGGAAATATTTTCTTATGTTTAGCTTCAAGATGATATTCATCCTTCAGCTTCTCATTTAAAAATGACTTCCTTCATAAGCCTTTCTAGATGTCCCACTGCATTAGATATTCCTGTTATATTGTGTAGTACTGTTCATTACTATTAAGTATATATTATATGATAGCATCTGACAAAGTGCGTATGTGGATTACTATTTCTAATCCTGTTAAGCTGCTGAGTAGACCAAAGCTCCAAAGCTAAATATATTTGTCAAAATCTAAATTTCTGTGCATAGTTTTAGCTATTGAAAAATTAATGACAATAATGACAATAAGTCATTAGAACCAAGATTGGAAAAAATATGTCTGGTCAAAGTTTAATGAACATTAAATACCATGTTAAAGAATATTATTTTTCCTCTTTAAGCCATGGGCCAAATTGTTGCCATTGAGGGTTTTAAAGATGTATGACATACTCAGAAATAATGTGAGAAGTGGGTAGCTGACCTCATTGTGAAGAAGAGATTCTTTCCATTTCCTTTGCGCTTTTCCCAGCCTGTTAGAAAGATGCTTGCTGTCATACAAGGGAGGCCACTGGGTGAGAGAAAAGGGGAAGAGATATAACTTCTTCCTGGCACACTTACTGCTAACCTGCATGGTCACACTCTGAAGTTTTCCATGGTAGTCATCATAGTTCCTCTAAAGTTAAAGATGCAAAACCCTTCTCGTGGTCTCACAATTAAGTGTCCTTTCTCCCTTCAAGAAATTTGGTCTCGCAGTTAGTTCCTTTTGCCATTACAAGACCATTCTTATTACCATCCTAGAATCTCATGAATTTTCAAAACACACAAACTTCCCTTGATTCCACTTCTCCCACCAGCTGCTTCCCAGCTCCCTGCTTCCTTCATGGCCAACCTTCTTAAAAGCTGCCTCCACGGACTGTTCCCATTTGCTTTCTTCCTGCTTAAACCTCAGCACTCTGGGCTGGCTTTCCTTAGTTATTTGCCTCTGGAAGGCTTATAGGTAACTTTGTGTTTTCAATCCCAGTGATCGTTTCTCAGTCCTCTCCTTACTGTATTGGTCACGTACTTTCTGTTTTGTTCTTGTTTTTGTCTTTTTATTTTAAAGAGAAGAATAATAATAAAAAGAACAACAAAATACCAACAACATAGACAAAAACAAAACAAAGCAAAAACAGTGAAAATGATACAGGGTTTCAGAACAAAATGATAGGAATCACAGTGGTTGTTACATTACGTATTGTTATCTTCAACGAAGTTGCGCAGTGTTTTTGTTTTGTTTTTTGTTTTTAGATTTTATGGCATTATATGACCCTAATTTTTCACCTGCTTCTTCGGCCTTATTAGTGCTTTCCCCTCACCAGATTTCAGTGTCCCTAAAGCACTACCTGTTTTCTCTTCACCCTTGATTTCTACATGGCTTCGTCTAGTCAGGGCACTTTAAATACTAAGGTATTATTTTGAAGTTTTGCTTTGAAATCTAATCTCCCCTGAGCGTAAATTTCCATATACATTTGCTTGCTTGACTAGTGTCCCAAAATCAGTCCAGACAGAGCTCTTGATTTTCACAAACATTTGTAAAATCCTCTTCCTCTCCCAACCTGTGGTAAATGAGGTTGTATCCACCTCTTCATGCCAAAGAGCTAAACTCACCTGCGTTTCTTAGTCTCTTCACCTGTTCCATCTCGTAATACATTACCCAGTCTTACTAGTTTTCTATAGACTTTCTCCCCTTTTATGCCCCAATACCAACCACTGTCTCTTACCTGAACCTCTGTACTACATACTACTGTGTCCACAGCACGCTGGTTATCCTTTCTCCCATAACGTCAGGATGATGTCACTAAGTCTCGAATCAGGATCATTCACCTTTTTAAAACCCCTACTTGTCTTCATGTTATGGTTACAATAAAATTAAGTTGTTAGCATTATGCCTTGGCCCTTGTCTGTCCTCTTAACTCTGTTACTTATCACCAGCCTGTTTACTTACTATCTGTGTTCATTTTTATGTTCCTCTAGGCTTACCATTGGTTTTTACGCTTCAGGACCTTTATGTTTAACTGTTCCTTTGATTGGAATGCTTTTCTTGACTTATCCATCCTTTTAACATCCCATTTCCAATTGCTTTTCTCACATAATGCTGATTTCATTTACAGTATAGTACTTAACACCATAAACACATGGTAGTTTACCTTACCTACAGCGCATAAACATTTTCTTCACAAGTATTTGTCCCCAACACCAATTAATGCCTACCCTGTTGAAGGTCCCAAATAAACCTTTTAAAGGGGTTATTCTCAGGCATGCCCTTTTTAGGATAGTCTTATATTACTCTGTGGAATTTCCTTAAATTCGTATCAGGGTCCTTCATTTCACCTGGAACTTCTTGACATTAAATCATCTTTTCTATTTCTTCAAATCATGTTGTTTGGATATTTAATGTTTGAAATCATTTTCTCATCAGACAGGTAATACTTTAATTATAATTATGGTGCACATTTATGTTAAAAATATACTCTTTGTTTAAAACAAATTAATTTTTGGAAGCTTTCATAGCTTCCCAATTAGAAAATTTATTTGTTTGTTTTTGTTTTGATGGGATGCTGAGGGTTAAATTTAGGGCTGACTTCAGCAATTGAACTATCTTTTTTTTCTCCTGTAATCCTAACCAAGTTACCTCGTAAAGTTTACATTCCTCACTGGCTGAGAATAGCCTCATCTCAGCTGGGTGTGATGGTGCACATCTGTATTCCCAACTGATCATAACACTAAAAGCAGAAGGATTGCAAGGTGGAATCCAGCCTGCACAATTTAGAAAGATCTAGTCTGAAAATAAAAGAAAGACAGGACTGGAAGTGTAGTTCAGTGGTAGAGCACTTCTCAACATACCTTATGTCCTAGCTTTAATCCCCAGCTCAAACAAGAGAAAAAGAAAAAAAATAGTCACAGGAACCCACTAATATACCATACCTGTATGTTAGAGTATTTATCGTGTTTGTAAGCACTTTTTGTAATGTTGTGTATTGACATATACCTATACTTTTACAAAAGATTTAATGCAGCTTATGATAAAGAACAAACAAGTTAGGGAATTAAACTAGAAATAGGAATAACGCTAACATAAGCAAAACTCCCTAACATCTTACATAGTTATAACAGACTATACATTTTCAATTCTGAGAATTCTCAAAACCAAGTTAGGTGGGGAGATATATCCATTGCCTAATTCAGTGTTTGTTCTAGAAAAATCATTTATTTTGACATGTTTTAATGGTAAGAATTTCAAAGGAATAATTTCTACTGTCATACTGATAAGATTACAGTTTGTGGTGCCATTTGAAACTGTTTTTTGTTTGGTTGGTTGGTTGGGGTTTTTTTTGGTTTTTCTCTGGTACCGGGAACCGAACTCACGACATTGCGCTTGCCAGGCAGGCACTTTTGCTGCTGAGCTAAATCCCCAGCCCCCATTTGAAGCTGTTTTATCTGATTTTTTAATTCAGTTTTCAGAATTTGTAATATTAAAATCTTTAAGGTATCTAAAAATATGATAATTGTGTTCTTATACCCAGCCTAATCATGAAAATATTTTTGTAAGTTTAATGTGACCTGGGGATATACCTTAGTGGCACAGTGCTTGCCTGGCAAGTGCAAGGTCCTGAGTTCAATTGCCGGTACCAAAAATAAAAATTTAATGTGAGCTGAAGCTCTGAAACATATCCCAAGTAATACATCTTAAAACTTGTATTTAAACTATAAAGGTTGTTATTCTGTTATGGCCTTTAATATAATATTGTCAAAATTCTTCTTTTTCTTTTAAAGGTATTGTCCTTGTTGTAAAACTGATTCCAGTGAGGTTGTAAAGGCTGGTGAAGGACTCAAGATGAGTAAAAAGAAAGCAAAGATGCCTTCAGCTAGTACTGAAAGCCGGAGAGACTGGGGCAGGGTAAAGAAGAAATTCACCTTTTGCCCCCAGTAGCAAATTACATTATATAGCGTTTTAATGCAAGTAGTCGTTATGACATAAAAGATTCAACAATATAATTGTTAAAATCACTGATGTCTAAATTACATATAAATAGTGGGGTTTCTGTGTTACCTTTGGGAATTAAGTTCTTTCATTAAGAGATTTAACACAAAATGATTTCTCAGGCAGCTTGTTTTGTAACTTGCAGGGCATGGCTTGTGTTGGTCGCACAAAAGAATGTACTATTGTCCCTTCTAATCATTATGGACCTATTCCTGGTATTCCTGTTGGATCAACTTGGAGATTTAGAGTTCAGGTATGTTTTTAAATTGGTTTAGTTGAAAGGGTAGAATGAATTTTGCATACAACTGAAGTAATGTTAACTTGTATTGATTATAAGGTGGACCTTGTTAATAGCACATGGTGTTATCAGTTGTTAGAAGGAAGGTTAACAGGAATGTACATCACAGAATTAGGCTTCAGCTATACTTTCTTATCAATTTATTTCTACTGTTCTGTTAATAGTTATGGTGTTAATATTCTTTTTATCTTTCTTTCCTCTTTTCCTTCCACCTTCCTCTTCCCTTTCAGCAGTACTAGAGTTTGAAACCAGGGCCTATACACTGAGCTACATCCCCAGGTGCCTATCCCTTAAATTTTTTTTATTTTGAGACAGGATCTTGCTAAATTGTGCAGCTAGCTGGGTTCAAACCTGGAACTGTCCTGCCTCAGCCTCTCAGAGTGCTGGGATTACAGGTGTGTGCCCCCATGCTTAGCTCTTATCTTTAAGCTTTCAAAAGAATTTTCTTACTAAAAAATGTATTATTTGAATATTAGTTTTATCTTTACATCATGTGGTAAATTCTCATTTAATGTTATTGAACGTTAAGCCTGCTTTCAGTGTTTTCTCTAAGGCTTACTCTCTTCAAGGAAAACGAATATATTAGAGAAAAGGAAGTGCTAGTAATGCAGGAACAAAACTGTTTCTCTTTTCCACTAAAAGAAGGTGCTAATTTATTCCTAATTTCTCTTTTAGAAAGTTAATTTTGTCATGGAAAATTTAATGTTGAAGAAACACAATTTCTGGAGTAGAGCAGTTCTCTGATACCTAGCATTCTGAACTTCAACTAAAGCTGCCTTTTTATATTTAGTGATCCACTGTCCTTAGGTCTTTGATATGATTAAAATTAAAATAGAGAAGTACATTTTATATAGGTTGAAAAGTTACATAGTGTGTGATTGTTATTTTCAAAACCTACCCATCTCCATCTTTTGTTTTTCAGAGAAAATGTTAGTTATTTTCCCTGGCTTTACCTTCTAAATAATATGTTTACTTCTTTTACTTTTTCATCTTATTAACTTCCTTTTATAGAAGATGGATAGTTAGCTTAGTACTTTGTATTCTCTCATCCTTGAAATAGTTGTTTCAAAATTTTGACTGAACTGGTTTTTAGGGTTCGTATTTCTATTACTTTTGATCCATAAGTACAGTACGATATTATAACTACAAGATAATAAAACAGTATAAATATTTTTGCTTATGTACCTGTCATTAAGTCATTCCCTAACTGTAAAATCCCCTGTAATGTGGCCTAAGACTCCAGGGTGACTATCAAGTTATTGGCTTTAGTATATAGTAGGATGGATTTGCGTATAAGGGAATGGGAGACAGTAGAACAGATTCATTTTTACGAGGATTGGTGAAGTAGGGAAACCAAGTGCCTCTGCCTCCTGCTAAACTCTGGAGTTTCTAAGGCTTTTCCACTTTCGGTTGTTTTTATTATTACCTTCTTGTTGGCTCATAAACAAAACTGCTTTCTTTTTCCATGTGTAAGCTTGGATTTCAGCTTCTTTCACTAAGAACACTTGTTTCACAATACCTTTCTCAGGGAGTGTGAAGTATGGAAAGAAGCGTACTTGTTTCAGTAAAAATTTCAAAATATATGAAGAAAAAGCATAGGACTTCTTTTTTTTTTTTTTTTAGAGACAGGGTCTTGCTCTGCAATTCAGGCTGGCTTTGAGCTCACTTTGAAAGCCCAGGCTGGTCTCAAATTCGCAATGATCCTCCTGCCTCAGCCTCTCGAGGGCTGGGATTACAGACATGTACCACCATGCCAGGCAAGCATAGGACTTTGAAGTAGGGTAGCATCACTAAACTAGAAATGGATTTCATGTTTGGGTAATAATACCAAGTAATTTTCACTCTCACATATAGGCTGCGTGAAAGGGCAGCTATAAATAAAGCTGGGAAAGTAGGGAAATTAGCAGAACGTAGTATATAGTGCATCTCTGGACCTTGATACTCCAAGATCATTTCATATACCTTAAGCATTAAAAGTCAAACGCAGAATTCTTCTTTAAACAGATTCTGTTTATGATAGGATGGGTTCAGAGGAGCAAAACTGAAGGCAGTGAAACAGGGTCTAATGTAAACATCCATGTCTAAAATTGCTATTCAGCAGAAGTAAAAACAAGATGGCTTTCGAGGATTTAGGAAGTGGAATCAAAAATTGTGACCATATCTCTTGAAGAATACAGGGAAAGAATGGGGTAAAACAATTGCTGCATTTTTGACCTGAAAATCTGGGTAGGAAATAACCACAGTCAAAGATGAGAAATAAAGAACAGATGATCTTGACCACTGATAGTTTCCTTTTATCTGAGTTGGGTTGGAAATTGGTGGTGATTATTATCAAGTTATTGTGAAACTGAGAACTCTAGTCATACTCTAATTTAAGTTCGTCTCTTTAGTCCCTTTAGGACTTGAGTAGAACTAAAACAAGAGCAAAAGGTAAAACTCTGGGTGACACATGGTTCTTAGATTTTTATCGTTCAAGAATATATGTGAAAGCATTTTTTAAATGTAAATTGTTCAGAGGTATTCTTAGATTCTTTTTACTTATTTTATAGGTGAGCGAAGCAGGCGTTCATAGGCCCCATGTTGGTGGAATTCATGGTCGCAGTAATGATGGGGCATATTCTCTTGTCCTGGCTGGTGGATTTGCAGATGAAGTAGTAAGTCATGATATGACTTTGTTCTTTAGAATCTGTGTTGATCACTTAGAAAAATGTAAAAGCTTTGTTTAGTATACATCAAACAGTGCTGTCTATTTTTAGCATAGTTTTTATGTTGGAGTAATCAGTTTTCCACAGGCAATAAGAGAAGTAAACTGGTAGTGTCTTATCTTTACATGTACTAATTTGACTTACGTTTACATTTGGTAACTAATTATTATGTAGAAAACGCGTTCTCTATAGAGCTCAGCTTTTAAAAATTAAAGTTACTGTTTTGAGGTAATTGTAGATTCACAGTAATTGCAACATTAGAAATAATACAGGTATCCTGTGCTCTTGCAGTGGTGACATTTTGTCACGTCCCCTGTAATACAGTATCATAACCAGGATACTGACATTCACACAAAATTCTGAAAATTCTATTATAATTTCTATTACCTTCAGTATTTGTCAGAGATACAAGAGATACGATATATAGTCAAACCTTCATTTGTGAGTAACTTGGTCTACAAGTATTCCACAGGATGAGCAAATATTTCTAAGAAGTAACTCAGTAAATGAGCAATGTCTTACACTGGAGTAGTATGTCATGCCTCACATATCTGGTCTTGGTTTCGCGCACTCAAGCTCTCTCTTTCTCTCTCGTTGCTTTGGTATACAAGTGCTTTGGATTATGGGCAGAATGAATTATTCTTTCAAACCCAGGTTTTACTGTAATTATAGTCAGCCAGTAGAACTTTATAAGGCTGTGTTACAACACGGAGCAAGTAGAAAGTGTAGAATCCCATCATGCTGTGCATTAATTCCAGTAACCATTAATCTGTTCCCCATTTGTGTAATTTTGTCACTTCAAATTTTTTATAAGTGGAATAATATACTTTATAACCTTTTAGATTCCCTTTTTTTTTTTTTTTGCACTCCCTTGAATGTGTATTCTCCAGACATTGTATTGATAGTTCATTTTTTTTTTATTGATAAGTATTAGTGCATGGTATGAATGTACTTCAACCACTCACTTGTTGAAAAATGTCTGCCTTACCAGTTTTTAGCTGTTATAGCTGAAGATGCATTTGTGTATAGTGTTTTGTAAATGAAGTTTTCATTTCTCTAGGGTCAATGTCAAGGAGTACAATTCCTGGTAGTTTGGTTTTTATTTTTCTAAAGAGACTGAAAACTGTGGAGTGACTGTACCATTTTATATTTCTGTTGGCAGTGTATGAGTGAGTTGAGTTTCTCTGCATCCTTTCGAGCATTTGCTGTTTTTCTTGTTAAGCCATAGTGATAGGTATGCAGGTGGTGATAGGTATTTTAATTTACATTTCCCTAATGGCTAATGTTGAGTATCACTCATTTTTTTATTTGCCATTCAGTAGCCTTAGATTTGTCTTTTCACATTTTTTAACTTGGTTCTTTGATTTTTGCTATTTATCAGATATGTAGTTGTCAGGTATTTTCTCCTAGTCCATTTTACTTGATTGTTTTAATGTAAGGTTAAATGAATTAGAGTAGCTATGGAGAGGACAATTGTAGTATGTTTTCAGACTAAAACAGAAAAGTTTGCCCTTTTTCTGGGATAGGCAAATTGATGATGCCTTTATATTAACATAGCAGAGGAAACAAAATGAAAATATTTAGGTTCTTTGTTTACTCTTTTAACAGAGATATTTCAAAACTATCTTTAAGTATTTGTCAAAAATACGAAAGATTGTATATTGTTATATAGTCAGCCCATAGAACTTTTTAAAACCTCTGGTGAAACAGCAATTAGGGAGTGTAGAGTTGCCTTAGCATGTATTTTTAGCATCTGAACATTTGTATTTGATGTGGTTTTGGTTTTTGTTGTTTGTGAAACTTTGGCCAAACTTTTAAACTCCAGTGAACTTCATTTTCCCCTTATGTAAAGTAGAAAGCATATTCATATTTTATGCCAGACAGTTATATTAAATGGGTAATTTATTGAACCCTGGGCACATTACAAAGATTCAGTGTAGCCAGGCATAATGGCACGTACCTGTAATCCCAGTACTCCAATGAGGCAGAGGCAGGAAAATCTCAAGTTGGAGCCCAGTCTTGACAGGCAACTTACTGAACACCTATCTTAAAATTAAAAAGGAGTAGGGCTATAACTAAGTGTGAAGGCCCTGGGTCCAGTCTCCAGTACTGCTCCTACCAAACAAAGGCTCAAATGTTAGTTACGTTCTCTGAGCAAATTCTTAACTTAAATATATGAAGTATGTCCACCGTGTTACTGTAATGCTGAAAATGAGTGCCACAAGTGACTTTTATCCTGTTTGTATGAATGGATACACAATGCTTAAGTACCTGCCAATAAATTAGTTAATTTTTGGTCTAGTATCCTGAGACTGAATCAAAGGCAGGTTTTCGTGTCCTGTGTTTTTGTTTTGTTTTGTCTTTTTTTTTTTTTTGTCTTTTTGAGACCGGGTCTCGCAGTTTAGGCTGGCCTTGAGCTCACTTTGTAGCCCAGGCTGGTCTCAAACTCACAACGATCCTCCTTCTTCAGCCTCCTGACTGCTGGGATTACAGGCCTGCGCCATCAGGCCCAGCACATGTCCTGTGTTTTTGTCACCTTTCTTGAGAAACACAGTTGTATGGAAAAGAAATTTCCACAGTGGCCCTAAGATTCTGAAAACATGCTGTTTGGGTATGTGTCCAGGAGCCATCTCTTCCTAGCCGTGAGACCTTAAGCAACTTGCTGAACCTCTGCCTTGTCTGTAAAATAAGGTATATACACTTAACTCTTGGTCTTAATGTGAAATTTAAATGGTTACATGTGAAATGCTTTGCCTTTCCCAACCTAAATGGTAAGGCCAAGGTAGGTGTCCTCAGTAGTAGCAGCAGTACCCCTTTGTGCAGTCATGTAAATGGTGTTGGGAGATAGAAACTGGCAGCCTTGATGTAAAGTGTCATTAGCAGTGCCTGGGTAAAGTGTTAAGCATTTTAATTGTGCTTTAGGATGGTTTACTTTGGTAGGCTTTAGAGAAAGGTTGACGAGATTTGGATGGGGAAATCTGTGATCAGGTTGATGGCTGGGGTGGCAACACCCAAGTGGTCTTAGGCAGCTGCTCTGGTCCCTGGGAAGAAGAGATTGGGTAACTGCATCCCTGTTGTAGATACAGCTTCTTTGTTTGGGCTTTTCTTAGGTAGCAGTCTCCTTTAGGCTGCTTCTCAGAGGCACAATTTAGTGGATCGTGGACTGGAATATGTGAGAAATTGAGGCCTATAATAATGGAGCAATAGTTCCATAGGAAAACTAGTCTGAAATGATACTGTCTGAGCTCTGACAGTGTGATAAATCTTTTTTTTCCTCTATGACAATACAAAGTTTTTCGGTGTAATGATTGAAGTATAGCTGAGTTAGTAGTATAGACAGACTTCTAACCGTTTTTCTTGATCCTTTAGGATATGGTCATTTGTTGGCTGAAAAACAACCAGAAATGATTTTGTTTCAGTGTTTTAAATGTTATTTAGCTTAGAGTGTTCCTTTATGCTGTTGTAGTTTTATTGTTTCTTTGTAACACTCCTATGATTATAACTTGAAAATTTAACAGTTATGAGTGTGAGTATTGTAAAATCAGTCCAGATAATATGGTGAAGACTTTATGATCAATTTAAGAAGTGTTCTGCACTGCTCTAGATCTTATTTATTAGAATTCCTCACGTGGAATACATCAAAAATGAAATACCTTAGTGCCTTATTTTTTAAAAATAGAGATCTCAGTGTTGGGCCAATAAAAAGTAAATTCAAGGTTTTCAGATCAGTGAAAACACATTTAAATTTTAGATAAGCTTTTTTAAAAAATACATTACTAGGAATTGATCCCAGGGCCTTGCACATGTATGCAAATGCTCGTCTACTGAGTTACTTCCGCAGCCCATCCATCTACCTGTCATCTTGCAGTATTGGGGACTGAACCACGGACCTCTCCCTGAACCACATCCCTAGCCCTTCTTATTTTGAAACAGGGCCTTGCTAAGTTACCCAGGCAAGGCTTGAATTCACAGTCCCCCTGCCATAGCCTTCCAGAGTGCTGTGAGTACAAGCATGTTCCACCATGCCCAGGTTTATTGAGACAGGGTCTTGGTCAGGTGCCTAGGCCAAACTGGAATTTGTGACTCTAATCCCTCAGGTTCATGAACGCCTCAGAGTACAGTTGTATATCACCACACCTTACTTCTTAGGCTTTTTAGGCTTTTAATCTTTAAAAAAAAGATGCAACTAATTGACTTCTAGAGTAAGAATGTAGTAAGGAAAACTTCATTGTCTAATTAAAACCTGAACTAATTAAAATGATTTTGCATTAAACAAGAATCACTAGTTAGGTGGAGTTAGTAGAATTAGTATATACTAAGTTATTTTCAACTTTGAATACTGAATCACCTAGAGACTTAGTGATATCCGTATAAATTTGTAGCTGCTTCAGAAGTAATAGCAGAGCTGGTTTATATAGCTTCCCTTTTGGCATTTCCCCTCAATATTCTGGGGATACTAAGTATTACTTTTAGTTTTCAAATTGTTTTCCAAATTTCTTTTTAATGGATGATTATTTTATCTGACTGTTGTAGATGAACTAATAGAGTATAAAATGCAGAGAATGTACTGTGTTATAATATAGAGTCTTTATGTAAATTTTCTCTATGTAATTTATTTTATATCATCAGAATTCAAATACTATTTGGCAACAAACGTATTATGGTATAGGTAACAGCTGAGAATTGAGTTATGGAGTGTTTATAAAAAGTAGCACTGCTGGCTGTGAATGCCACCTGTACACACCACCTGTAATCCCAGCAGTAGGCAGAACGAGGCAGGAAGATTGCTGCAAGTTAGGGGCTAACCTGGGCTACATAGTGAGTGATTTCAGGGCCAGCCTAGACTACACAGTGTGACCTAGTCTTAAAACTTCTTTTTAAAAATGAAAAGCATTATTATTATAAAGAAACCTACAAGGTAGCAATGGTGTGTTTATTTTAGTTAACCTTGAAGTATATATAATATATTCTGTTCCTAAAATCTTATAAAATAATACAGATTGGTTACATATATAGCATGGACACAACATGTGGGAGATGTCAGAAACTAGAATTTAAAAAAAAAACAGGTCTAGTGATGTAACTTGAAGGGATACTACACAAGATTGCACTAATTTTGCCTGATTTTGGTAGGTCCTGTGAGAGAAATGTCAGTTCATAATATCCTAGACAGCTGTTCTTACTCTGAAATAAGAATCAGAAATTATACTTGGGTTTAGGTATCTCAATGTAAAAACATTTTTTTCTGTAGGACCGAGGCGATGAATTTACATACACTGGAAGTGGTGGTAAAAATCTTGCTGGTAATAAAAGAATTGGTGCACCATCAGCTGATCAAACATTAACAAACATGAACAGGTACTTCTGTAAAGACTGTTTAAAATTTGAATGCTATATAAAAGTTTTATTATAGGATTGTAATTGGCAATTTGATTGCAGGGGAGAGTCTCAAATGAGGAGTTAAAAGATCAAATTTCAATGCCTTATAGAATTTTAAGTATGCTATTTCCTTGTACTATTATTTTTTAAAATGCCACAATACCTAGTCTTTCTTAATATACATGCCATCCATTTGAAAACATGTCACTTTTGAAAGAAAGGAGCTTACGTAATGTAAGTGAAATTCAGGATAAGGTGGCTTTTTTTTTTTTTGTACTGGGAATCAAACTCAGGACCTTGCACTTGCCAGGCAGGTGCTTATGCGACTGAGCTATATTCCTGGCTGAAAGTGGCTTATTTACTACCCCATAAGTCAACATTGTGATGTTCTTCTCAGTGCAAGTGATGTTCTTCTCAATATAGATCATCTTTTAATGGAGACTAGTGAAATTCTTAGAGGCTCATTAATAGGAAATAGGGCAATGATTGCAAGCCACATGTGCATGAAGAAATATAAGCTAATTTAATCATACCTACATTTAAGATACTTTCTAAATTTATTCTAATGTCTTCATGTTATAAGTGGGAAAATTCGTGTAGTTACAAAATGATCCTTTTGAACTAAATCCTTTTATAGCATTACAAAAGAGCCACCTTGTACTGAGCTTTATCGTGTACAAGTATTAACATCCAACTATGAGAATTCTAATAGTCTTTATTTGAATAATATAAAACTTAGTAATTTCAAAATCTTTTATTGTAAATGCATGCTGCTATTAATTAGAAAGCAAATCCAGATTATCTAATAGCAAGACCACAGTTTAATGTGTCATACTAAAAATTTTAACCATATGAAACAATCATATGGTTAAATATTTTTATATCATGAAGAGTATTTTGTGTATTGAGTAAAAATATTATTCCCTTTGAGTCTAAATCACTCGGTTTTAAGTAGCATCCTTTCAATTTGGGATTACCGTGTGAACCAAAGAATGATTTCAAGACTTTATTGTATACTGAATGACATAGAATCTGTTTTTATGTCTTGTATATTATTTCTGACAGTAGGATTATTTTACTGAACCAGCAGAGGAGACAGGTCAGATTTGCTGGTGACAACATTCCTGAGGCAGGAGCTCAGTCTCTACATACTCTCTCTCTGACCAGGGTGCAGCCTTCAGAATGAACAATCTTGAAAGAAGTTAGAACTAATTTGATGTATTTTTGTTAATGAAAATATAGCTTGAATTGGTAAAGGGACGTTTTAAAGTTGTCAGATCTGAAAGTTGTATTTGCCTGTTAAATGATTTTGCTGCACGGAAACTTCTTTTATAACTTAACTACTCATCTGCAGCACACATGGTCGATTACAAGCTTTTGGACAACCTAATAAGTACTGTTACAGTCTCTTTACAAAATACTTGATGATCAGTGTGGATGTTTGTTTAAGATGAGAGTTGTGAGAATGAAATATTAACTGAAAACAATTTAGGATTGACTTCTCATATAGACTTAAACTTCCAGTTGATTATATAATAAGCTGTAAATATGCCTTGTGACTGTAAGATCTCTAGGGCAAAGATGCCTATGTCTCATGAACATGAAAACTGAGGTAAAAGGCCCTTACTTGTGACCCATAATATACTTTCCCCCAATGATGTATATATGGTGAAATTCACTTTTGTTTCTCTCCTGAGAAAAAGTTGGACAGCTTCTTGCTTCTGAGTTTATTCCTATTTCTTCCCAGATCTTTCACTTTAAGAAAATGAAGAGGGCAACAAGGTAACCTGGCCATCCTTTGTTAGGGCAGTTAGAGGCAACTGATTGGTTGAGCTTCAGATAGAGTAACGGAACAACTTTCTTTGTTGCTGCTCTGCCTTTTGGACTCTTCACATCCTTGAATTAACATGTATATGTATCTGAAGCTACAAGTGTGTGGACATTGCTAATAGTTATAGTAATTATGATGGAAAGAAAGTACCCATGAGATTTAAAGCATGTTCACTCAATAATGTGAGGATATTACTTATACTAGTTCTTTAAGATGAAATATGTATATCTTGGTAGGTATTTCATAAGTAAGGTATACACTCCCTAGAGTTCATGGGTATATTATCTTATACCTTCCAGAGTTTTAAATTATCTCCCCTTTTAGATAAAAAGATAACTTGGTAAAAACTTTACTCTTTGACTGCAGCTATAAAAGTTAACTTTTAAAAACAAAAAACAATAAGTTCATTTACTTTAAAAGATAACTTATGGTCAAGTGATTCCTTTTCAATAGGTTAGTCATAGTATTAAGATCTGCTTTTAAATTTTTCCTGCATAAAATAATTATACCCTGAAATACTATTTTGCATCATATTTGATTTCACCATATTGGGTATACTTTTTTTTAACCTTAAGTGTTTTTGCTTATGTTAGGACATGGGTATCTTAGAGGAAAATACTGACTTTTCCATAAATTGTAGTATTTTTGGTAGGAGTAGGTTTTCCCACCAGAGATCTTCTAATGCCAATAAGCCCACAGGTTCATTACAGCTAAGTCAGTACATATAGTTATTTAAGTTAAGTCAGATGCATCTTCCAAATTAGTGTTCCTCCTTATCTCTGTCATCAGTAATAGTAGTAATCCCAAACCACCAAAAACTTTGTCATAATTTAGCACAAGCATTTTGATGCTTGAAAGTCTTTTTAAATTTATCTTTTTGTGGAGGATTTTAAAGAATATTCTCATATTGCACTTGTTCTTAAAACTTTCAGAAGTATATTGTCTGGAATGTGGAAAGTAGACCTAGAGAGGTCATTTGTACCTGGCTGACAAATTTATTTTTCTGAATTTCTTTCTGCATCATTCCAGCAATTTACTTCGCCCCTTATCAAAAATAACTATTAAAACAATCACTTGCTTTAGTTTTCCAACGTACTCCCTTCCCTCAACAACCGTTATTTAAAGAACATTCCATGTATTTTTAGTTGTTTTCTATTATACGTGGCACAGATGTTATTACTTTCAGAAGAACCCTACAGGCTATCTGAGAACCAATCCCCTGGCTTGGGGGTGACATCAGAAAACTGATTTGTCTTCTCTGCTGGTGGGGGAAAGCATAATCCTATTATCTGGAATAATATGGAAAGAATCATAGACTCTTAACCATCAGGTAAGGCATAATTCACCTTTTAATTGAGCTAATGACTCGATTATATACTTGAAGAAAGATTCCTTGGTATAAAGACTTCGTTTTGTTTTTTTTTAGGGCATTGGCCCTAAACTGTGATGCTCCATTGGATGATAAAATTGGAGCAGAGTCTCGGAATTGGAGAGCTGGTAAGCCAGTCAGAGTGATACGCAGTTTTAAAGGGAGGAAGATCAGCAAATATGCTCCTGAAGAAGGCAACAGATATGATGGCATTTATAAGGTGCTCTATCTGGCATGACATCTTGTTAGTCATTCTTCTTGGGCTTTCAAGACAGGGTCACTTCAGGGTACTGGTGGGTGGGCTAGAGGAAGGAGGAAGCCATCTTAGTTGTATTTCCACTTTCATTTTTATTTCATTACAAAGTAAAATATTTCCAATTAGTTTTGGAGATGACCTGAAATGTAATCAATTCACAAAGAGGACTCTTAACTTCTATACTTAAGTCCTTTTTTCAAAAAACAGCTTATAAGTTCCTAATGGCAAAGTTATATTTTGAGTTAAAGTTCTTCAAATAAGTGTAGATTCTCTATGATCAAACCATGTAAATAGCTTGCCTATTGTAGATCTTGATTTTTGTCTTTTCAGAATGCTTTTAATGATTGTAAAGGATTTTGAAAGCAGAACACGTACAATTAAAAATAGATTGTTGTTTTTTGCTTCAAAATAATGGACATCAACTGCCACCATTCTTATCTAATATGAAGATTATGTTAATGAGCACAATTTTGTTAATGTGCTAAATGTAGGCTATCATGTCTTTATGGGAATTAGCTGAATAGGAAATTAAGTCAAAACTATGTTTTAATCCATGTTCTTGGCTTATTTACTATACTTACAGTAAAGCAAGTACCTTCTAAAGTTAATTCTGACAAGCTTATTTGAACCACTGATGTTAATCCATTACGAATAAAATCTAAGCTTTATATCTCAATGTACTTCTGAAATATTGTGCTGTAGGTGGTGAAATATTGGCCAGAGATTTCATCCAGTCATGGATTCTTAGTTTGGCGCTACCTTTTAAGAAGAGATGATGTTGAACCAGCACCTTGGACCTCAGAAGGAATAGAGCGATCAAGGAGATTATGTCTGCGTTTACAGGTTAGATTGTGTTGTATAAGATGTTGGTATGCTCATAAAAATACGCATCTCTATTATGTGCCTTAACACTGTGTAGAAGTCAGAGCACTGCATCAGTGCCCTCCATGAGGGGTGAGGAAGATCATGTGGTATACGAAGGGAAAGTAAGCAGGTGGCATCCTAGAGATCAAACAGCTGTAGGAGCACATGTTGTCTTTAGGAAACGATGGACTTGTTTGTGAAAAGTAGAGTATTTCCAGGCCAGTAAGGAAGTGACTTGAGCTGTGAGGGAACGGGATTTATGAAATTTAGGCTTAGGGGATGTTGAAAGGGACATATATCCTAAAGGGCGCAGCGGGAATGTCTGTGGTAGGGGAAGGGTGGGGAAATGGCTAATAAAAGTGGTCTGCTTCCTACCCTTCTCACTTTTCCTCACCCCTTTTCTCTCTTCCCCCGCAAAGCTGCTTCCCTGCCCTGCTATCACTTTTTAGTGATTTGCCTTTTTTTTCCCCTTTGCTCATGCTCCGCTGTTAATCCATAGAAGACTTCGTTGGTTTTGTATGCCTTTTGGATAGTATGGCTGCATTTCCCTTTCACTGCCTGTCTTCCCTATGCTCTTCCCCTGCCACTGACTTCAGAGCACGGTTTGAGTTCATCTCATAATTCTCCATGTTGTGCTTCCTGTAAAGACTGTCAGCTTTGTCATCTCCCCTGGCTCTGCCCACATTGCATGTGTAGGGGCTGAACTATGGGCAAGTGTCTGACCTCCCAGGCAGGTGAGTGTGTATCTTTTAGTGGAAGTCTGTTTGTTTTTTTAACTCATAGAATTTATTGTTTAAACAAGATCCATCAGCTACTAAAATAGTTAACAATATAGTGTCTTTATAAGTAAATATAAAAACTTTGTCAAATCCATTTTCAAATCCATGTGTTCAGAGCATTAGATGGGTTTGATTTGAAACTGTGAGCCCATCTACTACGATGAATTAATATCGTGAGGCCAAAACCACATACAGCTTTAGAGATAAGTATTATCACAACAGCATACCTCCTTCCCATCCCCCCCCAAGGTAGCCATTAAAACCTAGGCTGTGGGGCCAGAGATATATAGCAGCACAGCACCTGCCTGACAAGTGCAAGGTCCCGAGTTCAATTCTATGTATAAAGATAAATAAATAAACATAGAAGACTTTGTTTCTAAGCTAGCTGGATATGTTGGCACAGGGTTGTAATCTCAACTACTCAGGGTGCTAAAAGGCAGGAAGGTCAAACATTGATGACCAGCCTCTGCCACATGGCAGGACCGTATCTCAAAAAATAAAAAGTGACATAGGGGTAATAGGTAGAGTGTATTCCTTAAAACTGAACCCTTAAGAGATAGAAAATTTAGGTGGTTAGTCACTTAGATTGTCTAAAATCTCCCCTTTTTATCCTAACCTCCAGAAATGTGGCCCTTATTTTTTTTGTCTTAAATTATCTATTATGTATTTTACTACCATGTTTGTGCTTCATGGTTGAGCCTTACTTTGGTACCTAGATTCTCCATTCCTTAAACTTTTCAGGCTGCCTAGTAACAATTCATGAAAATTTCTGTCTTTTTTTCTGAAACTTAGATCATTATGTTATAAAATGGAATATTTTAGAAGTCAAAGCTACATGGCTTTACAGTGAATTTGGGATATTAAGTCTTCTTTAATTCTTTTTCTTTGAAAGTGTTTATCCTTTATGTAAATTCTTTCAATTTACGGAAAATAGACTCCACCGCACCCCCCCTTTAAAATTCCTCTCCAGGATCCAGAACCTCCCTTCTCTGTGAAGCTGAAATCTTTGTTTTCCTTTTGCTCCCTCCCATCAGTATCCAGCAGGTTACCCTTCAGATAAAGAGGGGAAGAAGACTAAAGGACAGTCGAAGAAGCAGGCCAGTGAAGCCACAAAAAGGCCAGCTTCAGACGGTAGGTAATGACTGCAGAGTGCTTTTTCTAATAGCATAGATTTTAGTAAAGAAAAATCTTAGACTGAGTTGAGCAATTCATAAGAAATTAAAAGCAAAGGATTTTTGTTGTTTTGGTGGTGAGTGATGGGTATTTTTGTATATTTTAATAATGTCAGATCCTTAACAGTAGCAAGTATAGTATCCTATACTCCAGGGCAAATGAGAAGCTGCTTTGTGTGGGTGATCTTCCTGTAAGTCTTTTGGTACCAGTTAAGTATTTTTTAATGGTGAGTCTAAGGTGAACTACTGACACTTTAAAACTAAATCTAGATGAGTGTCCCAGTGCCTCCAAAGTGATCAAAGCACCAGACTCAGCAGAAGCAGTCGAGGCTTTCCAGCTCACCCCTCAGCAGCAACGTCTAATCAGAGAAGACTGTCAGAACCAGAAACTGTGGGATGAAGTGCTAGCCTCGCTCGTGGAAGGACCAGTATGTAAAAGTTTTCCTAAACGATAGTGTTCTGTTATAAGTGATGGAAAATAATTTTCTATGAAGTACGATTTTCAAAGTCAGTCAAAACTTGATCCGGATACAGGCATGCAAAATTGACCCCCAAAATTAAGCATTAACTATTCCTTTTAATAAGCCAATAGAAATCAGTAGTACATATATCTTAGCTACCTTGTGTGTGTGTATATATTTTTTTTTTCTTTTCTCCTTTCCCTCATCCCAGTTGTTTCATTTTGAGCAGTTTCTTTCCCTTTCACAATAGCTGTTGTACATTTTGGATTTTATTTACTCGTCAGTTTCTTACAGTAGGGAGACAGTATGGTGTGTACACATGGGGGTCTGATTTGTTTCACTTACGAGTATGCCCTCTAGTTGCATCCATTTACCTATAAAAGCCTTGAGTTTATCTTTCTTTATAGCCGAGTAATACTCCATTGTATAAAAATACATCTTTTTTATCTATTCCTCAGTTAGTTGATGGGCATTTGGGTTGTTTCCAAGATTTAGCTATGACTAATTGTGCTGCTGTTAGCATGGGTGCACGTATATCGCTGTGGTACCATTGTTGATTTCTTTCTTGTTTTGAAATTCTGTATCATTTTCAATTTTTTTAGTTTTTATTCTCTTTAAAATAAAAAAGATTTAAAAAAAAAACTTGATCCTTCTTCTAGTCAGTGCCACCATCTTTGAGAAATTACTGGAATCAATAAACTTAAATGCTCTTGTACGTATTTTTACATCTTCAGATTTTTTTTTTACCAGGTGTGATGGTGCATGTGTACTTCTAACTATCCACGGGGCTGAACAGGAGGTTAGAAAATTTAAGGCCAGTTGGGCAACTTAGTGAGACGCTGTCTCAAAATAAAAAGGCATGAAGGCGATATAGCTCAATTGTAGAGTACCCTTAGGTGTATCTTTAGTACTACAAAAGCAAAAGGAAAAACAAAACAGACAGGTACTAGGTAATGATGACGCTTAAGTAAATGAATGTGTGTACATTTATAACTAATCTCCTTTCCAAGACCCTGGTAGGATGGGTCCCTTACTACCCGCTTGTCGTCTGACTGCTTTGAGTACTGCACTGTGTGCAGAACCGTCATCTGCCCACAATTTTATGCACATACTGTCTCTGCCCAGAACTCTACTCTCTGCCTTGATGAGGCGCGTTCTTTCATATCCCTTAAGACACAAATACTACACTACCCAGAGGCATTCTCACCTCTCCTTCCTTAAAATAGCTGACTTGCGTCTCACTTTTTAACTGGCTTGCTTTTCTCTCTGAAATTTATTTTTGTCTGTTCTCCTATAGGAATACAAGTTTTATGAGATTAGGGCCTTTTCATTTTTATTACCACTGTGTAGATGAGTACCTAGCACACCACAGGAACTAATTATACTGGTATTACATACCCCTGTTCAAAAATAGACACCACAGAGTTACAGGTACTAGGACATTTTCAGTTTTGTTCAAAGTAATTTGTTAGCAAGAGGGTACCTGGTATAAAGTTGGAGTTTTCAACATCTGCGTGTGGATGTGTTTGTTTTTGCTGTCACTGGGGATTGAACCTAGGGCCTTCACACTGAGCTACATCCCAAGACCTTTTTTTATTTTGAGACAAGATCTCACCAAGTTGCTAAATTATCATAGGCGAGACTCGAACTTGGGATCCTTCTGCCTTAGCATTCCAGAGTGCTGGGATTACACATGTGCTACCGTACCAGGCCTGCTAGATTCTTTTAATGTGTTATACGGTGTTTATAATTTACTTGAATTTCTAATCCACGTTAATATGACAGTATCAGAACATGTTTTGAAATATGCCATTTCTTTTTTTACTTGAAATTCTTATAAATTTGCTTTTCTATTAACAAGAAGAAATGAAAATACATTCTCTCGCTTCCAAAAATAACTAAGGGATTATCTTTGTAACTTTTAAAAACCTGCCATTTGTTCTAGTTTAAATAAGCATGGACTGGTAATGACTTTTAAAGATACAGTATAGGAGATCTATTTGAAAATGATTTCTTTCTATAAACATTAGCACCAAGGAAATACAAGATTGGTGGGGGGGGGTGTTTTGGAAAAATACCACAGAAAGTCATAGGAATGAAATATGTTGATTCCTTGTGGTATTAGATATGACAGAGTGTGTCTTTTTTGTTGTTGTTTTGTTTTTAAAGACAGGGTCTTGCTTTTGTAGTTCAGGCTGCCTTTCAACTCATTGTATAGCCCAAGCTGGCCTTTAGCTTGCTGTGATCGTCCTGCTTCAGCCTCCTGAGTGCTGGAATTACAGGCATGCACCACCACGCCTGGCTCTTTTTCTTCTTTTCTTTCTTTTATTTTTAAGCTTCAAAAAACATCTTGTTTTATATCAGTAAAATGTTTAATGGATAACATTCATGTACTGGAATAGAATACCGTAGTGCTTATGGAAAGATGAGTATGTAGCAACCTTTTGAAACTATCCATGTTGTGTTTATGTGGTGCTGGAAATTGAACCCAGAGCCTTCTCTACATATTACAGTCCCTCTAACCACTTAGCTACCATCCTAGCCCCTGACTTTTTTTGTGTGTGTGAAAAAGTACCCCTGGAATATGAGATTTAGAGGGACTTTGATGGGTTTCCTTCACTCTCTGTCATGTTCGCTTGGTATAAGTAGTTGAAATTTTCTTTTTCTTAATATTAAACCCTTTAAATGTAAGTCAATTTTTTGATCCTTTAGAATTTCATTGTACATTATGGACTGCTAACATCGTTTTCCTTCCTCTTGGGTGCTATTTTAGAACTTTCTGAAAAAATTGGAGCAATCTTTCATGTGTGTTTGCTGTCAGGAGCTAGTTTACCAACCTGTGACAACAGAGTGCTTCCACAATGTCTGTAAAGTAAGTAGAATCCCCTCCCACTTTCCCTTGACAGACCTAAAGGGACATTAAGCTCTATACCTGTTTTTAGCATGTTAAAAAAACTTTTTCATGAAGGAGAATAGTTATCAAACCTTGCCAGTAAGAAACCATTTAACTACAGCTTGGTTGTAACTTCATGTTTTAATAGTGAGTCTAATATATACTGCTTCAAGTGTTGCACTACATTTAGAATTCTGGAGAAAGCATTCAAGTGTAAAAAAGAAGCAACTAAGGTTATCATTGCTGTTCTCTGTGTAAGCTTATAAGTTTTATCTGTTTATGTACTTATAAGTTCTATATATTAGTTTCATGCAATTGATACAAAAATCTAAAACAAATTCTTCCTAGCAGGATGCCCACATGATGCAAATATTATCAGTGTGATACAGAAGGAAAATTTGAGTTTTAGTCAAGCCAGGGTTGGAAATTTGCTCTACCAAGTGGTGGTTTCATGCCCTACCTAACTTCAGAACTTGTTTACTTTTAAAAATGGGAACAATTCTCTATATGTGTTCCTGCCTCAGCACCAGTTAATTTTCTATATTTAGTATAGCTAAATACATTTTTAGAAGATGCATTATCTGTTAAGTGATTTGATAAGTATATAACATATTTTTAAGAAATAGAATCCTGAATTTTTTTCCTCCTTTCCAGCTGCATCAGTAAACAGCTAGGGTTAAAGTCCAGCGAAAATGATCTGGCTAGTAGAAACCATCCATGCTTTCTACTTCATTTTACCAGATGAGGAAATGGAAGTACAGAATAGTTGCATCACTTACCTGAAGCCTCACAGTATTCGTCAGGGTGGAAATATGTGTATATGTATATACTTTGACTATAGATGGTATAATGCATCGGGCCTTTCAAGCTGTGCATTTCTCTTATTATAAACAGTAAGATGCTAATTCCTGTTTAAAAGTGTAAGTTACTCATGGACCCTCTTATGAAATTGGGTGTTTTGTTTGTGGTTTTTTTCCTTTGTTTTTTCCTTAGGATTGTTTGCAGCGCTCTTTTAAGGCCCAAGTTTTTTCCTGCCCTGCTTGCCGGCATGATCTTGGCCAGAATTACATCATGGTTCCCAATGAGATTCTACAGGCTCTACTTGACCTTTTCTTCCCCGGCTACAGCAAAGGACGATGATCTGTCTACTTCTGTGTTGTTCCTGGTGGCTTATTGGACAATAAAGAATCTAAAGTGGGTGGGGAGGGAGGAAGCAACAGTGGACCATCTCTCTCACATTCTGAAGCAGCTACTCCTCTTTCCCACATAGCCATCATCTTGTGTGTGTAGTAAGAGGCCCATTTTTCAACTGTCTTAACTATTAAAAGGTAGTTCTGTCAGTAACAGCTAGTTTTAATGAGTAAGTCAAAGCCTCAGCTCTAGTTGATATTCAAGTTATGATTTATTTTGCAACTACCTCAGGACAGAAAAGATTTATGGGGATTTTAAAAATCTTTGAATAATTAGTTAAATGAGATTTTAGCTACACACTGCCTCCCAAATATTAGTTGTGCCTGGTTCTTGTAATTTGATTTTATGAAAAAGGAAATGACACTTGAGATTCTTGGAATGAATGCAGCTTCTGTAGTATGCATAACACTTTTTAAGATGTCTCTTCCATTACAGTATGTTTTGCAAGGACAGGTTCGTTTTTTAGCCCATTTTGTGAGCTCCATTGTGCTTTTCTTCTGGTGTTTTATGCAAGTTGACTACTAATGACTAATGAAAACAATATGAATGCATTCTTGCTGCATTAGTGTAATGTGGTGTGGTTTTGCAGTTAAAAGAGGTATTCAGATGCTTTAGTTGTAAATGTTCATGAAAAGCCACTTCTGTATTAGTCAAACTGCTTTTTAGTGAGTTTCACCAGTGATTTTATATCTGCAGAGTATTGAGGGGTGTTCTGACTTTTGAGAAGATTGAAATTGCTTCATATTGTGATCCTAAATTTTATATTCACTATATTCCTTAAAGTATACCTTAATAAATATTTTATGATCAGAAAACTTTCATTTTGCTTTACTTTTGTATAATTTTATGGTTCATGTTACAGATTTCTAAGAATCAGTTTCCTGAAATTTTCATTGTATATCTTTATTAAAACATTTTGACTCTGATTTTGGTAATGAGAACTAGAATGAAAATTTTTTAACCTAATGCATATTAATTATACAGAATGAGCTGCATTGTGTAAAATGAGGTCTTACCCATGAAGGACAAATTCCATCTTCGGTTTGAGGTTTTTTTTGTTTTGTTTTGTTTTTGTTTTGTTTTTTTATAATGTTTCATTCTATCAAATGCAGAAATTTTTAAAAGAACAGTGCATGTTCTTCTGTCTGTAACTGTTATGCTCCATTTTTCCATGAGTGCTGCTTATTTCAGACATTAGAACATTTTAAGATGTTGCTCCATTATACTCATTTTTATCACAGAAAATTCTAATGTGGTCATGTCTTTGTAACACTAGATTCAGTGCTAACTGACTGTCTGGGCAACATTTACTGAATATCTACTTTGTTGTAGTCACGTGTACATTTTAGCTCTGGCAGTCTGTACCACAAGCCTGATGGTCTTCTGTGCTGCATAGGTTATCAGCCTTGCATATGTGGCAAACTAGACCCATTGGTTTTCCTACATGTGGTTAAATTCAAAATCAGGTTCTGTGAAATACAGCTTTAGATTTGATTGTGAGTGATTCCAGTTTCACTGAGTAGCCCTTAATACAGTGATGTTTCAGTGTCTTTAACTGTGATGGCGAACCTTGTAGAGCTTTCAGTGATGACACCAGTCTGCTGTGACATGTGTGCCGTAGGTTCACCACCACTGGTCTGTGAAGAAGCCTTAAAAGAAGTCCAGAAGTTATTTTTATTGTGAAGAATCATTTAATTAGGATCTTGATTGAAAGTGAATCATAAAATGTATTGCCCTGCGCTGTAAATCCTGTAGCATTTGACCATGTTGAATGAAGGATGGGAAATAGTCTCCCTCTTTCAGCTCTTTGAAGTTTAGTTCTACTACTACTGTTACCAGAATAAGTCTGAGTCATGCTGTGTATTATCTTAACTCCGAATGAAGTAGGAAAGTGGGGTAAATACAGCTGTCAAGAATCAGCAAAACTAAGCAATTTTGTATTCTTCACAAACTTTTAAGTTTTTCTTTAAAATGAAGTATTTTTACATAAATATTTCAGAGGATATGTAGGAAACAGGAACTTTCAAAAAACATTACTACAGCACTACTGTCACATATTAAAAAACTGAATTTCTTTATATCATAAAGTCTCTAATAAATGCTCTGGATTGCCTTGAAATATCGTGTTTTTACCTAATCAGGATCCAAATAAAGACTTACCATAGTGACTAACTGGTATTTCTTAAGTCCTTTTTTTTTTAAAGGCAGGGCCTCACTGTATAGTTTAGGCTGGCTTGAAATTTCCAGCAGTCCTGTCTCAGCCTCCGAAGTCCTGATATTACAGGTGCCTCTTAACTATTTTTTAAGTGTGTGTATATTCCCTGAATCTTTTGTCTTCTGGGATACACACAAACACACACAGACTTCACTGTTTGCAGTTTGTATGTTAAAATTTGAGTTCTTCATTCTGAAGTGTTTCTGGCACGTTCAGCTGAAGTAGCTTAACATCACCGTATGACGTAGATTAACATACTCATTTTCTGCAAATTGGTAATAGAATTCAAAGTATGACCCCATTCAGTTGATTATTTTTTCTTTGAGCAGGATTTCATAGGTGCTATGATTGTCATCAGGAAGCAGATGATATCTGGGTATCTCTCAGGCTTCAGTTGGAAAAATAAGCTGTTAAGGAATAGTTGGAATTTCTGACATTTAATAGGATAGAGTGAGAACCGTTGAATATTCATCAACATTCTTGTAGATAGGACTGAGGATTTTTTAAGTGAGGGTAGAATGGACCTCACCTGCAGGTTACATTGTTTATTCAAATAATGTCCATTCTAGTATAAGGATTTAGGTAAACACTGAAGTTGGCAGTCTAAATATAAAACTTTCGCTTTTTCACAACCATGGCATCTATGACAGTGTAGGTGACAGAAGAGGACTTACAAGAGCTGGGTAGAGTTCCTCTCAGACTTGTTCATTGTCTGGTACTTACCCATTAGCCAAACCCTGCCCCATTCTTTGGGATACACCAAATTTGATGGAAGTAAGCGTGGTGAGCCATGCCTCCCTAGCCTGCACTACAAAGAATTATTCTTACTTGTCTACTGTCAATGGACTGCTGCACGTAGGCTGGTCCTTACAACCAGACCTTCACAATCCCTGAAGGAAGTGGTAATGTCAGGGCTTAATGCAAACCTGTACCAAGAAAAAAGATCAAAATTTAATACCAGTCACTAGATATAAGAAGTCAAGAACTTATTTAGAGGGGCTAACCAGGCTACCCAAATGACTGCTATTGAAAAATGAATGAAGGAATAAAACAAGTTTTATAGCTATATCCTCAAGTATGAACAGAATGGAAAGGAGATGCTGTGTGAAGAGTAATTTGGGATTGAGATTCCTAGAACTACACGATTATGAAAACAGAATGCAACAGACAAAACAGGTTGGAGACTGCCAAAGTTTGAATGTTCTGCCAAGTTGTTTGTTTTACATGGATATGCCACAGTTTATTCATCTACTGATGGATACGTGGATTGTCTCCAGGGTTTTGCTGTTAGGAATGAAGCTACTGTGAACTATTGTGTGTCAGTCTGGAAAACATTTGTCAGCTCCTTACGAGAGTAAATGTATGCCTACCATCAGATCCGTCAGTTTCACTAATATTTATTGAAGGAAAAGAAACACAGGTTCACAGTGGTTTATACCTTATTTGTTCCAGCAGTGTAGCAGAGCTCTGATTCATATTCTAACACTTGGGTTTTAAAAGCATCCTGAGGAGTGTAAACTTACTGATTTTGTCTTAAATATATGTTAAGCATTTGGTGATAGGAGAGTGGATTGTACTAGTCGTTTCTATTCAGATGTTTCTCCTCAGAAGCACATGATAGGATTGTACTTGCTGCCCTGTGTTTTCGGGTAGAGCCATGTGATCAGCTGGATAGTTACCAGTTTGGATATGTGTCTCACAAGGCTCATCTATTGAATGCTTGGTCCCTAACCCACAGTGCTAATGGAAGACGGAGCCTTTGGTTAGTGGAGCTTAGGAGAAAAAAGTTAGACCACTGCCACTGAAGGTGATATATAGGCCCTAGCATCTTGTCTGTGTTTGGTTCCACATGACCATGAGGTGAATAGGTATCTTCCACCATGTGCTTCTTCTGTGATGTACCCCATAGGCCCAAGGCAACACCAAGTGGGTTAGCATGGTTCTGCGTGTGGCTGAACGGGTTTCCTGAACAGGGAAGCCCCACACTGTGTGTGGGTGGCACTAAACAGTAAGCTTACAGCCTGGGTGGAATTTAAGGGGACAGAAGGCAAGCGTGCTACCTTATTGCCTACCTGGCTGTGGACTGTTTCTCTGCCTTGCAGCCCTGCTGTGGAAGCAGAAGACCATAGACTAAAACCTCTACAGACTGAGCTGCAACAAACCTTTCCTCCTTTAACTTTGGTTTGGGTATTGGGCATTTTTGCTCGGCAATGAGGAAAGAAAGACAAGAAAACATTTCTAATAAATTTTAACTTGAAAAATGAGCAGTGTCTTGCAGTACGTGACACTGAATGTCACATCCCAACTGAGCCAGTGGTTGTCTCACTTTGGGGTTGTGGGTGATCATCTCCCAACAGCATGAAGTTACAGCGATCTTGACTGCAGTGAAGTCATCGGATGTCCTTCACTTCCAGTAAGATTAGGGAAATGTGTGGAATGTGGGAAACTGAAATTTTGTAGAAAAGCACCACACAAGTAAGGCTGCAGCACTGCAAGTGATGAATCTATTTAATGACTAATGTTACATTTCTGTAAAATCCTCAAAATAAGGGTAAAGCAAGTGTCATTCAATAGGTTCCTTACTAAAGTTGCACAGAAAGAGACTTGGTTGAGCTAATACAACAGTGGTTAGTGATAGTAAAAGTCATCCTACACACTAACTCTCCTCTCTTGTCTCCCTCATACCAGCCAAAGGTAAATGCAGGGTAATTTTATTTCTCTGCTTTGCATTTTTTCTATTTTGTATTATATTACAAATGATTGTGATCATATTTATGTGAATATTTTTGGGTTGTAGAACAATAATTTTATTTCTTCTGGGCGAAATTTGCTTTGCTATACAAGTGCCTCGGATTACAGGTGTGTTTCTAAGGCTTTACTGTGTATCCTCCAGTGGCCTGTTGAAGGTTTGGTCCCCCGCTTGTGGCACTGCTGGGTGGTGGTGGAACCTTTAAGAGGGGCATCCTAGTGGAAAGAAGTTAGTTATTGGGAGTATGCCCTCTGAAGAGGTGTTCGGACACCAGCATATCTCTCCAGTATGTTTCCCAGCCACTACGAGGTAAGCAGCCTCCTGTGCCACACTCTCCTGCCGTGACAGTACTGCCTTAGTGCAGGCCCCAAAACAGCAGGCAACTGACCAAAACCTGTAACAGACAAAATAAACCCTCACGAGTCATTTCCCTAGGGGATCTTGGATATGCGATAAATTTATCAATACTTGCACTGTGCATCACATTTAGGCAGAGCGTTTCATGACCTTGTTTTCCCTTATATGGAAACTAGTAACAACCTACGCAAAACTTTTCTATTAGCTTAGATCCCAGAATGACAGTAATAGAGACCCAGGCAACTTGTGGTTGAACACACGAGAAGGAAATCCTTCAAGCCCACGAAGGCTTTGAGTTATTAGTGCAACATGACCTAACCTATCCTGAGAAAAGTATTCCTGAGTTTCTCATCCTATCCATAGATACTAGTGTGGTAAGCAATCTCTCAATCTCAATTCTCAGGTATATTCTCTTCCCCTTAAGTGTGGACTCCTAGTTTATCTTGAAATTAACAATACAGCAAAAATGATGGTATATCATTTCTGAACTTACTTTACTCAACTATACTTTGTTTACACAAACACTTCCACCTTGAGTGTTGTTTGTATTGAGGGAAGCCAACTTCCATGTTGTGAGCATTGGTATGGAGAGGCACACCAAACAGAATTGGTGTTTCTCATACTGAAGTAATCTCTTGACTCCCACAGGAGTGAACTTGGAAGTGAATCCTCTTCTCGTGGAGCCCTGAGATGATTTCAGCTCTTTATTGCAACCTGTGAGAGACCCTCACACAGGTGCCCATCTAAGTCACTCCTGGATTCCTCCATGGAAACTGAGATGATGAATATTGTTTTAGCCCCACTAACCTTTACATTAACTTATTACTACACAGCAAAACATAATACAGATGGAGTGACTATAAGTACTAGTTTGCCCAGGACAGACACCATTTGTACTTGTTACTCCAAAATGATTATGAATACTACTAACTTCATTTTTTGTGCATACTTGATTAGATGTAATTGCCCTGCTGATAGACCCAATTGAAAAAAATATAACTGTGAATTCATTTTTATGGTAGGAAATTTCCTTATCAACCGTAGCCAAGATTTGAAAGTGATTTCTCCTTCAGAGGATAATGATTAGCAGTGAAAAAAAAAAACCTAGTGAACTATGGTAGATGGGGACTGATAACATGGGTAGAAAACACAGCAATCCCATGCATGATTTTCCTGGAAATATTTTATCTCCAAGTAGCTACTATCTAGATTTCTGCCAAGTTTGTAAATGTCAGGAGAAGTTTTTGAGACCCTCCCTTCACATACATTTCAGTTCTTCACTTGTCTGGGGAGATTGTGAACTAGATTGCTCACATACTTCGAGTTAGCATCCATTTAAGGAATCAGTAAAAGTTGCATGAGTTGTTTGGACTTACATCCATCCACTGCCAAAGTAATCCCAAAACATAAACTTACATTTTTTGACAGACAGATAAGTGTGATCATCTAGAAACAAAATTCCCATAAAATACTTTTCCCAAATTAGCATTAATTTTTTGACTTAAAGTAATTATGATTCCCAGGAAATTATCAAAACAAGACCAACAGTGAGTCTCTCCCCTCCGTGCACCCGTGGCAGACAGGAAGTCTACTCAGAAGCCACAGGGACTGCTCTCACTAGCGTTTGTATGTGGGTCCTCCCTGCACGTGCCCTGTGCCAAGTGAGCGAGCACTCCAAGAGCTGCTGGTCCCATGGTTCTAGTCCCTGCTTTACTTGC